GACATTCTTTTTTACAAATCCTCGTTTTGTACTTCTAATTCTTGACCGTTGTTTTGTTTTGATCTCTCCGCGGCATTTCCGCGTGCGCCACTTCTGAGCGGCGCATGCACAAAAGTTGACCTCATACGTCATCCGCCCGGAACTGCTTGTTTACAACAGTGAGCGCAAGCTAGATTTAAGTGATTATTACGTTTTGAATATGGATATTTTTCTTACAAAAACGCATCGATTCGCTACAGGAGGCCTTTGTTCACCCCCCGGAGCCGTGTGAGACACTTTTTTATGGATGGGCGCTTTTTATTTCACTTCTTTTGGACTGAAGCAATGCAACACCCGCTGACTGCAATGATAGAGCTTGAAAGATCAAAGACAATTTTTAATATAACTCCGACTGGATTAGTCTGAAAGAAGAAAGTCATATACACCTAGGATGCCTCGGGGTTGAGTAAAACGCAGCCTAATTTTCATTTTTGGGTGAACTAACCCTTTAACAGCTGTGTTTTTATTTGACTGAGATAAATGAACACGTGTTTGCACAAACATGAGGAAAAGGAGGATAGTCTACAGTTAAAGTTAGTTAAAGAGCGAAAATAGTTTTGAAAGAATGTGTTCTGTTCTGATGCAAATCAGTACAATACATTTTTTTTAAATAACGATAAAAAAAGCATGACAAAGTCCTATTTCTATTGTTGATACGAGTGCAGATCACTGCAAATGTAGCATGTAGCACTTGGAAACTGACGTGTCGAGATATATTTAATTTAATGTGAAAGTTCTTACAATGTGTAAAACCTATGCTTTTCACCCTTTTCACATAATATTGTGTAATTTGATTATAGTCCTAAGTCTGAACATTTTTAACTGTCAAAACAACAGTATTGTGCCTTCCTTAATTGAGATTGAAATGTAATATTTTTATTATTATTTTTTTTTTACTAAATGTTTGGAATTCAGGGTGTTTTTTCACTGGCTTAACATGTACAGGTATTAAGCATAGTATTTTTTTTTAAGCAAAGATATTTTTTAATCTTTATTTTACCAGAAAGCTTCAATACCCAGTCACTCACATAAATTCTTTGCATTACTCACACTCTATTGCATATAAAAGATACAAACATTAAATGTTTTATTACTATTATTTTTATTATTCAGTTTTATTTGAAATAAGTTTATCATCATGTGATGATGTCTGTGCATTTAAGGTTGATTTATTTATTTTTAAATGGTACAGGTCAAGTTATACATGTCTACATGGTTATACATGATGTTGGTATTGAAAGGGACCAATACCTCATCTTCATTGCATTGTAATAAATGCAAATATTTTAAATTACGCCAAAATGAACAACTGTGTTTTTAAAAGTTTTTTATATATATATTTGAAAATTCAATAGAAAGAACATGCATTCCTTAAAAAAAGGTACAAAATAGTCAACATACAGAGAATTATGCTTTTATCATTATTATAAAAAAGGATTTATCAGGTTCAGTGCTTTATCAGTCAAATATTAGTTACCATCTCAAACACAAGGTCTAATGAATATTATTGCAGACCCATGTAAATGGCCAACAAAAAGTAAAATAAAGAGAAAAAACAAACACAAAACAACAACAAACAAGGAACAAAAAACTGATACCGACAGCCCATGGTAAAGTTGGCAGATGTGTGTGAAAGGTAATGTGAAGACTGTTTGTGAACCCAGATGACAGTGTAATTTTGTTTAAAAGTGTAAAAGTGTTTGTGATTGTGAATATCTCCACATCTTATATAACATACCTCTCAGAATTCTTTCCTCATGACAGCGCAGAAAGTCCCAGATGCGTACAGTTCCATCATCAGAGCAAGTGGCAAATTTATTATCCGTAGGAGAGAAACTGAAGACACAGCAGGGAGAGAATCAACAATGAAGGATAACATAGCAGATCTCTGTGGGGTGGACACCTTACACCCTGCGGGGGCCCTTTGAGTGGATCTGACAAGGAACCATCCATCTCCTTAGCAGACAACTCACTCTACAGAACGGTCCTATCATAACTTACCTAAATGCATATTTAATACAACAAGCTGAATTGAAAGACATTTAACACTGACTGCACATTTCTCTGTGTTCTGGGCCTTGCTGTACAACATCAGAAAATGGAATGAGCATATGAAAGGTAATAACTTTAGTTCAATAAGTAAATGTAATCATGTATGTTTCAAATTCAATCATGCCTACACAGACTGCTCTTCCTTCCAGAGGGCACACAAGCTGGTTCAAGCATTTGGCAAAACTGAGCCTGCCTCAGTTCACCAACTCACTCTTTTGACCTTCAAACATACACCATTATTTTACTATGTCTACACAGAAATAAGGCAGAAGTATCACTCCACCTAACAACATAAAGTACAAACATTACCCATAGTGCTCAGATGTTCTTACTATGCACTCGATTTTTTTTTTTTTTGAAGCATAAACATTTTTTTAAAAAACACTGAAGTGAACGGAAGCCTCTCTTCAGTCTGTTTTACTTCAACCCATGAGCCATTTGTATGATCTGATAACACTGGCTTTAAATTTGTGGCTTCCTTTTTTTGTTTTTAAAAATATGGTAGAAGAAATGCATTTTATTGCATTAGAAAGGACGTTACATGCTCTTCTATTGTGTCTGAGTTAACAAAATAAAAGGGAGTGGCAATGAATTATAAACCTGGACTTCAATGTGGATGAAAATGTTGCCATGTGCATTTATACCCGTAGAGTTGTATCAAAGTGAGTTATTTATTCCTAGAAATCTTTATTTAGAGGCAGAATTTTTATTAGGGACTGACTGAAAGCGTGACAAAGACTCTGATGGCCAGTAGGGGCAGCACAGCTCCCGTCTCACTGGTAAACCATTGTGAACTGAAACTTAAAAGTTGTGTACATTTCCTACAAATAGACCAGTGCAAAGACATGTGTCCAACTCCTCCACTATTGAGGCTCTAAAAACCCTTCCAAAAACACTTTAGTCCCTGAGGGTCTTTTTAAGATTTGTTTTTTTTCTAGACTGTATGTCATCACTTTAGAATATAAATAATTGGGAATACTTTATTTAAAAGTGTGAAAATACACCTTTTCTGTACATAGTAGTTATGTATATAAAAGATGAGAATACCACAGGTGACATAAATGCAGTGTTGAAACAACAACAACACACAAACGTGTCAATAATAAAGGACATGAACATTGAGCAGCACAGGGAACAGTATATCAGAACTAACAGCACTGAGGAGAACCCCCTAAAGGCAGAGCACTGCCCCTGCAGAGGCAGTAACAGGCTTGGGTTAACTACAGAAAATGGTAGATTGTGTATAGACCTGGCCTCTCTAATCGCCTCCTTGTGAGCCTGGAACATCTTGACGTTATTCATGTTGGACTGCCAGTACTTCACGTAACCTCCATGGTCTGCAGTCAACATCCACATGTCATTGTGAGACCAGGTCATTGCCCTGACAGGGCTATCATGAGCCTATGAGAGAGAAAAAAATATGGATAAATAAATAAGGACCTTTTAGCAAGCTTTTGAGGTTGTGAGGAAAGGGTGGTGTGCCACAAATCTAAAATATGGTCTCTGGTTACCTGCAGAATTGTCTCGAAGTTAAATGTGAGCCCATTCCATAAAGTAAACTCCCCACTGGAGGCACCTGTTACAAGTCGCCTGCCTTCAGGAGTCCACTATAAGAAGGGAAGAAAAGGGTAAGGAATGGTTTAGAGCAGGGTTCCTCAAATCTTGCCCTGGAGGTCCAATGCGCTGCAGAGTTTAGCTCCAACCCTGATCAAACTCAGCTACCTGTGATTTTCTAATGATCCTGAAGACATCGAATTGCATGCTCAGGTGTGTTTGATTAGGGTTAGAGCTAAACTCTGCAGGAAAGTGGATCTCGTGGGCCAGATTTGAGGATCCCTGGTTTAGAGTAACCAAAGGAGTAGGCTGTACATGGGTTATATAAATGATGCATTTTAACTAGGGCTGTCAAAGTTAACGTGTTAACGCATGCGATTAATTTTACAATCCTTAACGCGTTAAAATAATTTAATGCAATTAACGCAAAATTACTGAAGCACAATTTCTATTTTAAGCCTTTAACCCAATTTTGCTTCTCTGCTTGCGATCAGATCATTTTAAGCCGCTGAACTCCGGGAAAGTTTTCAGTCCAATGATCCAGTAAGCGAATGCATTCAAACAATCCGTCCAAAACAGCGCTAAAATAACGGAAACCAGGCTGATTACATCAGAGATTGCAGAGAAAACAGAGACTCGGGTTGCGTTTTCAGTGAATTATTCATTCCAGTGTGTTTCGCTTTTAAACACGAGCTCTGTCATATTCTGTGATTGTCCCTGAAGAGCGCGAGCCCTCACACATCGCGCTGTGTGAAGTACAGACTGAACGGAATGTCAACACATCCCACCATGTATGGCCAGATGAGATGCGACTGGATAACCAGTGTCTCGCTAGTAAAGTTTTGATGGATGAAGACTGCAATCAAGGTAAAGACGATTGCGATGGCATACAGGAGTCGTACAGTAAGCACGCGTGAGTCTGTTATATTAACGCGTGTATGAGTACTCTTGACGCACTGATCGCACATTGTATTTATGCACAGGCACAGACATGTCTGTTTAGGCCGTGGCTCACTCTAGGCCCTCGGCCTCCGCTCACTCAAAGCCGCGGTGTGTGAAGCTGTTTCGTTGTGAAAGCAAAACTACTTTGTTTGGTCTTCCAAAAGAGGACACGACTAGAAATCAGTGGTTAAGTTGTATTTACAACACTGTTCCAGAACAGTTTAATCCAAATATTCAGATGTGTACAGCGCATTTTATGGAGGACTGTTTCCTGATCCTGGGAGAGTAGACTACAATGCCGGCTGTTCTGACTCAGACTGTAAGTACGTTTTTTATATTTAAAGAATTTGCCACTGATGATTCAAACGCGAGTTTTGAGCAGTGTAGAAGTAGCACTTGTTGTTTGTCATTTCTCCGATCACATGTTTTATGTTTACACGGCGCGATGCAACGCGTAAAAAGACAGTACAAGTCATTATAATCCGTAATTATGTCCCCACTGGATGCAACGAATGCCCTGTACACATACTATACAATTCAGGTTTTTTTTAGCATTTTTTTTTTTTCATATGTGCTTAAATGGGCTCCTTATATCATTTGGTTCTTTGGTGTCCTTTTGGAGTCCTTTTTTGGAAAGACATCTAATTTATCTTGAAAAAAGCTTGCAGAAAATACAGATTTTTGAGAATCACCCTTCAATCTTTTGGTTTTCTTTGCTGTTTTGTTTTGAAACAAGATAAATGGTCTATGCTTAATTTCATGAAGTGTGCGGTTAATCGCGATTAATCACAGAAAAAGGGTGTGATTAATTAGATTAAAAATTTTAATCTATTGACAGCCCTAATTTTAACTCATAAAGAATCAAACAAAATTTTAAGCTTAACACTTACCCGCACAACAAACACAGGGCATTTGACTTTGTTGGTGGAGGTTCTGACAAACTTTGTTGTAACCGCATTCATAGGGTTATTAAGCATACCAACTGGAGGAACAAGCTGCAAAAAATTATGAGAAATATATGAACTTGAAGAAAAAAACATAAGAACTAACCAAAGTAGTAATGAAACATACATCATTGTAGCAGCCTGCATCTGGTTGAATAGCACGGAAATCTCGATGATCTCGTTGCCACAATCGATTCTGAAATGGAGTAATTTGCCAGAGGTTACATTTGCCAGATGTTACACTGGCACACCGTTACATTTTGTCAGGCTTATACCTCAAGATATCTAATGACAGACGGATTATAATCAATGGTCTTGCGGTTCACAGCTTTCCTCATGCGCTTGCCATCGAAAGTGAGCTGCTGCATAGCCTGCTGTTGGGCAAAGTCCGGCCTCTTGTAGAACAGCTGACGAGGTGCCTGGTGCTGGAACCGAGGCATATGGAAGAACCGGGGAGGTGAGCCAATATCTGTTGCCATAGTGACAGTTTTGCAACACCTGAGGATGTGAGGAGAAAGAAATTTACTAGGAGTTTAGAGTTTATTACATTGGCTCACTTTAAATTAACACAAAACAACCAATTGCGGAGGTCAATGTAAAATTTAACATAGAGACAGAAAAGACATTAACACATCAGTTTGATTTTACGCTTTAAGTGTAGTCAGCAATGGATACGAACGGGTTAAATGTGCCAATATTTCAAACCACCTGGAGTGTTAAACTAATACTCTAAGTGGTTTGAAATATTGGCACATTGAACCCTTAAGTATCCATTGCTGACTACACTTAAAGCGTAAAAACAAACTTTTATGGTTAATAAGTTTGCTCCCAAAAAAAAGCTAGCTTGCAGCAAAAAAAAAAAAAGGTAGACAACCGATTGGTAAATAAGAAACACCTCTAATTCAACCGTGCAAGAAACTGACTACATTACTTAAGTTAACCAAAACAGTACTTCGAGGAATAAACAGCAATTAAGTGAAGATGGATGACAGACCACAAAGGTTAATAGCCTTTGTAATCATTATAAAGAAATTCTTTATCACAATTATACATTGGTTTCCATAAAAAGTTGCTCCAAATGCAAGCTGCGGCATTTTGCAAGTGATATCAAAGCAAACCCAAGCTGAATTTAAGAGCTTTTTCCAGATTTACGGAGAGGATAATTTTACATGTCAGAGAAATTACATCAATGTTTATTGATGTCGAGCATCTGGAATCACAGAGTAAAAGACCTTTAAATGCATCATACTTTTCACAGTAATACTTCAAAATGAAATAAATCATTAATAAAATACGGCAGAATCTAAAACAGTTTTGGTTTTAATCTAGGCATGTGTAATTTGAAGCACTGAGAGCAAAATAAATATACCCTGCATAACTTTAAATATGTTTAAAAAAGCAGCACAAACATCTTAGTATGAGTACAAACATACTAAGTATGAGTACAGTTGACATTCTTTCAAATATTAAAAATATGCAATCACTAAAGACATCCTCCAGTTAAAACCATTATCAAAATAGTCTGGATAGTGGAGTGCCAATTTCACTGACTTTCCAATAAAAAAAAATAAAAAATACACACACAACGGTGCACACATAAAAGATGGAATTACATTAATGACTGAGTGCATCTAACAAGCTCAACACCATGTATAGGACATTTCACTGTAAATGCAAGGTCTGGATAGTGGAGTGCCAATTTCACTGACTTTCCAATAAAAAAAATAAAAAATACACACACAACGGTGCACACATAAAAGATGGAATTACATTAATGACTGAGTGCATCTAACAAGCTCAACACCATGTATAGGACATTTCACTGTAAATGCAAAAGAAACGAAATCCTAAATCACTAGTTATATTCAGCTATTGCAACAGAACCAGGTATATTTCCCTGTGATTTTAAGTAGATGTGTTTTAGTTGTAATTAGTATGCAATAAATACATTGTGTGTAATAATTAGTATACTAAAGCTGGCGAGCAATCATTATTGAAATTTAAATCCTAAAATGCAGATATATATTGCATTCTGTAACATTTTGTTTTCCTAAAAATATATAAATCAGGCCAGTTTCTTGATGTAGCTCACTCATAAAATAAAAAAGGAGATCTCAGTGATGGATTACTTCTCTCGATACAAATACAACTCATGTATCCTACTTAGACACCCTTAGAGTTGACTTGGGTCAAATACATATGTGTACTAAACCGTTAAAACCAGTCTGTGTTATAAGAGTGAATGATGCTGCTAATGCCTAGGAAAATGCTTCTGAGAAAAAACAACATGAGCAATTATTTTTAAAAAAGGATCCATTTACTCAAGTGTATTTATGTATGTATGTATATATATAGTGGGTATGTGTATCAGACATCAAAGAGCAACAAAACTGCACCATAGACAGAATAGCTGTTGTCCCTTCAGGAGGGGAAAAACAAAAAAATTCTGGAGCAGTGATTCTCAACTGGTGGGTCGCAAGTAAATAAAAATGAGAGATCTGATTAATTAGGAGGCTGCCAACACATACTAGTCATTAAATGACCTCATCCTTAAAAACACTAAACATAAATACACCTGTTTTTTTTTGTTTTTTTTTAACCTTACAGCAATAATTAAAATGATTTGTGCTGACCATTGTGTTGTTTTTTTGCACTGAATTGGCTATCGAGTATGAAGCCATTACACTTCAAAAGACATGTAAAGAATTCAATCTTGCATAGCTACTGTGTAGACCACGTTAATATGATTAAACATCAATGTGTCTTTTTTACATTTCACAGTGTGTTGTGTAACCACTTGATGTCCAACATAAAATTTGACACCTGAAACAATCCTTAAAAACACTAAACATAAATACACCTGTTTTTTTTTAACCTTACAGCAATAATTAAAATGATTTGTGCTGACCATTGTGTTGTTTTTTTGCACTGAATTGGCTATCGAGTATGAAGCCATTACACTTCAAAAGACATGTAAAGAATTCAATCTTGCATAGCTACTGTGTAGACCACGTTAATATGATTAAACATCAATGTGTCTTTTTTACATTTCACAGTGTGTTGTGTAACCACTTGATGTCCAACATAAAATTTGACACCTGAAACAAAACCAGCTGGGAAGAACTGTCCAAGTGTACCCTAACCCCCTTAAAGCTTATGCAAATGATTAATTTGTGAGGAGGAGGGAGAAAACAAACAAAGAAAGCTAATTCAAACAGTACCCAGTTCTTCTGCACACAAGTAATCACAAAGATTAATGATAGAAAAGAAAAAAAAGAAAAGAAAAAAAGTACTTCTACATGATGGAAAAGTGAGAACACATTTTATTACCAGTATGACTAAACGTGTATTTCGCTACCCGGTCATAGATGCAGTATATATAGTTTCGTTTCATTTCATTTCAAATATTTTTTTAGATTAAACCCAATGCAGCTGTATTTCTGAAATAGGACTGAATTTAAGAGCTGTTAATGGAAAACATATTGTACACTTTCGCAAAAGGGATATAAAAATGTGAAAAAAAAACCTTCAGTTATTTGGGTAACATTGAGGGGTTTGTGAATGCCAGGAAAAACATTTCTAGGAATTGTTTAATGTCTTTTCTTTAGGTGGCGTTACATACTGTAACGTTACTGATGTAATAACGCAGTGCTAAACTAAAAAACATGAGTCGAATATTAAAGACATTTATCTCTTAACTGTAGACGCTAAAACAAAACGTAATTTGGCGACTAATGCATAATTTATACCTGTAGTTTCTTGTTCGAGGTCGAAAATGTCTCTCTTCAGTTCGAGGACTGTTAGCCTTTAGCCAGCTAACACAATACCTGATGATACCACAGGCCCTTACAAACAGGCCACATTTTCCCTGTCTACCAGAATGTGAACAGAATCTCCTTACAAATAAATGTGTTTATTTGAGAGCAGAATCTGTCCGCTGAAGCAGATAGCTGTGTATTGGCTGTGAGAGTGGTTATTTCTTTCCTGTCTCCCGCACAGCGTTTTAATGGCGCCCGGTCAATACTTCAGAAACTCACCCAAAATATCCAGTGCTGACTGAGTCTATTAATCTAAATTTAACACACAACTCTTCCTTGTGGAGACTATTGTAATGTCTTTCTGAAAATGAAATGTCAACTGTCTCCAACGTGCGCGTTAATTCGCTATTTTTCCGCGTTAAATTAACCCCCTGTCTCCATCGCGAGGCTTCCTCTCATCTCGTTGCTTTGAACTCCGAAACGTCATGACGTCAGACGTATCGGCGGGAGAACTGCGTCACTGCATGTTTATTTACCTGTCTGGTCAAATGCGGTTAGAACAAAAGTTGTTACATACTAACGTTACGCTTTTTTTAATTTTATTTACCTGTCTGGTCAATTGCGGTTAGAACAAAAGTTGTTACATACTACACATTTTTTTATAAGTAGTTATATTATTACTACTACTTAATATTGCTTATTTATTTAGTTATTTCTTTGATTATTTGGGTTAGTTAACCCAGAACTTCTACTTACTCTCGTCTACTTACTCTCACCTCATTCTAAACACATATGACGTTCTTTTATCAGTTAAGCATAAAAGGAACACTGAGAATGTAATTTACATACAATGACACTGAATGGAAACGATTTCTTTACATTTGGAATACACAACTGTTCATTAGGTGGGGCTATGATTCGATTACCATAAATACACAGCATATGAGATCTTTATTTTTTCATATCGCTGTACACTATTGCCAACACATCGTGTTGCAACTGCAGATAAGTTATTCGACTACTGAATTGTTTGGACGGTGACTTTTTATTCAATGACAAAACGTCAGCAAAGGCATGAAATCTAGATTGGGTCAACTGTATGTGAAGCCAAGGTTTCAAGTAACAGAGCTATTTTTAATCCTGCACTGGTTACTGAAGGAAAGGAAGGCGATACGATTATTGACATAAATGGGCGGGGTAATTTAGCTGCATGTGCGTTCACTGCACGTTTTCCCTGCCATAGGGACTGTGGTGGTGGTGAGGATGATGAGGCTCTGACACATCCGCTTCGAGGATCATCAACGCGCCTAATCTGCAGGTCAGAATGGTTTCTAAATCTGAGCTAAATGTTTATCTCATGTTTTGAATGAGGGTGGAAGACTAATGGTGCGTTCAAGTCATGTCGGATAGATCGTATTTACGAGTTGAACGCACATGAACGCCACCACAAAGTCGTTATTACGAGTGGGAAACTCGAAATTTTCTTTAAGCCCCGAGTTTCCGAGTTGGGGGCGTGTCAATGAGAAACATGGCGGAATCGATGGATGCAACGTCTGTAGTTGACTTTTGTTTAAAGGGGTCACATGATGCTGCTAAAAACATTATTTGGTGTAATGAAATGTGTTTATGCGGTTTAAAGTAAAAAAAAACACATTATTTTCCACATACTGTACATTATTGTTTCTCCTCTATGCCCCGCCTTTTTGAAACGTGTCGATTTTTACAAAGCTCATAGGTCTGAAAAAGCGAGGTGTGCTGTGATTGGCCAGCTATTCAGTGCGTTGTGATTGGCCGAATACCTCAAGCATGAGACGGAAATGTTACGCCCCTCACATACCGTGTCCGGCCGGAGCGACGAGACATAAACATTAAAACCCATTACAAACGAGGCATTTGTTGCATCCAGTGGGAACATAATTACTGATTATAATGACTTACACTGTCTTTTTACGCATTGCGTTGCATTGCGCCGCGTAAACATAAAA